TCCCCTAATTCAGCCACAGTTGACTTCAGGGAAATTGCACCATGAGATTTTTTTTTTTTGATCCAACAGTTAACTGGTGCTACTGAAGTCCCCAGCTCCAGAGTACTGTAGTTCACCATGATGCTGAGGGACTATAAGTAATACATTCCAGCCTGAGCTGCAGCTATGTTACCATATGACCTTCATGAAGGCATTTGGCCTCAGTTTCTTCAGCTGTCAAATGGGGATGACTGTCCATTCCTTCATTACCTTCCAAAGCTGCAGTGAGAGAAATATTTCATTAACGCAGAATAGATACAGGTGATGTGGCAGCATGGATTAGTACATGGGCTTTGGCAGCAAAAATATTTGGGCACAAATGTGACTATGGCACTAGTGAGCTCTGTGACTTTATGTAGGTATTCAGCCTCAATAAACCTTGAAAAATAGGCACAGTATTAGTGCCTATATCAAAGCCTTATGGTGAGCAGCAAATGAAATAATGTATGTATAATGCTTAGCACAGTGCCCTGTATGTATAGACTCAATTTTAGTGTCATGCTAAATATATGTAAGCAATACCAGAAACCTGCCATATAAAATCAGAAAAGCATCGCATTTCAAATATTATAAACCCTAATCAAGCAGATGATTGGCTTAAATTTATATCAGTATTTGATGCCTGAGGTGCAATAGGAATCCAGAACCAAAGGCTTTGGAAAAGGTCTGAATAGGATCATTTTCTATGGTAAATAGTCAATGGAACCCAGAGACTTTCAACTACAATACATGTTTGAGATCCAATGTACAAAGCGGTAGTTCTGAAAAAGTACATATATGTATTACACAAGTCATACCCTAAGTTCAGACAATTGTGTGTCAATTTGAAGTCAACTCCTGTGATGGCCACTTCCATAGACAGACTGGTTGGATTGACTCTGCTATGCATTTTTTAAAAGTTCTTTCTTCTTTTTTTCTTTCCTTCTTTCCTTCTTTCTTTCCTTCCTTCCTTCTTTCTTTCTTTCTTTCTTTCTTTCTTTCTTTCTTTCTTTCTTTCTTTCTTTCTTTCTTTCTTGTCTTTTTGAGACAGGGTCTCGCTATACAGTTCAGGCTGGCCTTGAGCTCACTTGGTAGCGCAGGCTGGCCTCAAACTCGCAACGATCCTCCTGCCTCAGCCTCCCGAGTGCTGGGATTACAGGCGTGCACTACCACGCCCGGCTTCTGCTATGCATTTGCCACTGTGCTGGGACTTGATGACACAGATGCAGACCCACAGGTTCACAGACTCAGAAAGGACATGGAACAAGAAAGTGTAGACATTTTGAGGTTAAAAAAGATACAAGTGCTCCTTTGGCAAGGATCGTTCCAGATACTATGCCCCACAGTAAGTCAGCCTGACTGCCTCCCAGATCACAAACAAATGCTGAATATTTAGGTGTAAATTTGAAGTGCAACAGCATGAGACATGCATCACATGCTATCAATTCGTTCATTTCCTGGAACTAACATGGATGATGATGAAACTTTCTTCGATTAATTTTAATTTTTAGACACTCTCTACCAGAACCTGTGTGACAGTGTCTTTAGTACAACTGCATGAATGGAGGATTTCAAATTCTTTGAAATGAAGATTAGTACCTGGAGACTACAAATTAAACTCATTTAAAAGCAATTCAGGTAAAAGAAAATCTCACTTCAGAAAATCTCAGAATCAGCATTTCTATGAAACCAAGCCTCTTAAAAAATGGTTTCCGGTTTCACCCGAACAGATCGGGTCATGGAGTCTCAGTCTTGATCTTGTTCTTCCTGAAAAGATGCCCAGTCATCCTTGCAGCAGGTTCCTTTGGGTGGGAGTCTTATGAATGGGGGAGATGGGTACGGGACAGGGCTGGAGGTAGTCAGAACAGAAAAAGGCAACAGAAAGAGGAGGGAGAGAAGATGGCATGTGACTTTCCAAAGTACTGTGTTGCTCTGTGTGTTGAGATCAGACTTGACGAAGGTCCTGCTAGGTCAGAAAGGGGTTATTCCAGCCAAAGCCAGGACAACAGCAGGCCCGGAAACTCTTCTGTCTCGGTTAGGATGGCCCAGGACATGCAAAGGGAGGCAGGCAGCCTCACTCCCAGCTGCCAGCAGGACAGCAGGCCTGGAGCCTGACTCCAGAGAGCCTTGTACCCCCTCTTGGAACTGCCCCCCTGTGACCTGGGCCCCTTCCTCCCTGCCGGCATTTGGAGGGAAGAAGGATGGCCCAGAGGATGCAGGCTTGCTCACATGTGTGACAGCCAGGTTCTTAGCTCATGTGCCATCAGAGCCAGGCATGGGCAGGAGGTGTGGGAGATAGCTTGTTCTGGATCAGAGAAGACAAAGCATCTCCCCTGCCCTGCAGCTGATGCTGACAGGGAGCATGCGTGGGACTCGGTGGTGGCTGGCATCAGGGACAGCCCTCCATGCTGCAGCCTCTCTTAGCTTCTCTCCTGTCTGAGGAGGGAGGCTGGGAGGGGGAACTCCTTCCACCCGGCCCAGCCTTCCTGCTTGGTTTTGATCTCAGGAAGGGAATGCCCCTGCCCCTCTTTGAAGCAGCAGCCAGCACCACTTGTCTCTTCTCTCCTTCCCGCAGGCACTTCTGTTCAGAGTGCTGCCTCTTGCTGGCTCCTTCTGCTTCTGCTAGGTCCTCCTGCTGATCGGGAAGAAAGTGCACCAGTGGGGCGATGGGGGTCTGGAACTCTTAAAGGAAAAGCTTTATTTCTGTTAGAAGTTTGTTTGCCTAGTGTATTACTTTTATGTCTCTCCCCAATCAATATAACCTCGAGAAAAGGAAACCAGATATAAAGAGACCATAATCACCATTTCAATGTTACTTGCAGATGTTCTGGTTTTCCTTAAGGATTTTCAAGCAGATCGGGCACTAACCGTAGTGACAATCATTATTAGCAATCAAATCCAATTCAAGAATCATTTACTGAGGGCGTAAAGGTGAAGGACCATGGATCTGAGTGAGGCATTCCTGTCACCTTAAGGGCTCACAGTCTAGAACAGAGGATGAACAAGGCACAGAGATAATTTGCAAACCCTTGGTACCGTTTTCTGACAATAACTCCTGCAGCAGAGTCTTTGACCAAAGGAGTTTATGAGTAGCCAAATTGACAAGTCAGTTTGAGATGTAGTCTCTCCTTGGCTGCCCACTGGTTGATTTTCTGTCAGTCAAGTAGGGTTTGCAGGGGACTTGGCCCCAGGCAAAATAGACAGGCTGGTGCTGCGGGATCACAGAGCCTTGTTTCTGTATGTGACATGTTCATGACTCACAGTGAATGTGAAGGAGTCCGAACCCGGTGCTTCTTCTGGCCCAAATCCTCAAGTCATTCAAGGCTAGAACAGGGATCCTTTCTACTGGGTCCGGGTCTGGGTGGCTTCCCGCGTTCTCGGTTCCAGGGTGAGTTCCCTTTCTAGGGAAAATGTCAGGCTGTGAGCAAATCACCAAGTAGAGCCCTCGGTTTCTTTGGGAAAGAATAAACAGTTTGGATAATTTTGAAAATATGACATAATTTCAGAGACACTTACTCAAATAGAAAGAACATCAGAGCAGTATGAGCCAGAGGGTTTGGGGTCATGTCTGTAGTTTTATGGAAGGGGAAACTGAGGCCCAGAGGGGTGACTTACAGGAGTCACACAGGGAGCTACTGGCTCCCCGGTCTGCCCTTCCTTCTAGTTCTAGGATTTCAACAATGCACCAATACTGCTCCTTCTGTATAAGGACAGGAAGAAGGCAAAGAAGATGGCTGGGACTTCAGCGAGCTCAAGCTCCTCAAATGCCAGAAAAGGTCCCTGCTCTTTGTACATTCCTTTCTCCCAAGGAGACCAGGCAACTTTTCCCTTGAGGGAATCTGCTAAGTGATTCGCCCCTTCCTGGAGTACAAGCCAGGCTGAAGGGAGGAGAGGCTGCCTTCAGCCCTCCCCCTCCGCATGCAGAGAGACAGCTTCTCAGGCCCGATGGGAGACAGGCAGCCCCTGCGTGCCTGGGATACTGGGTACACATCCAGCGATTTTCCCATTTACCAAAGCAGGAAGGCGCAGAAGGCTTTGCCCAGGCACGTGGTGGCGGTTGGAGGAAGGTAGCAGTGGAACTCGGTTTACTCTGCTCTAACCTCAAACCGGAGGGCCCTTATTCGTGCCAGCCATGGCAACTCACTGACTCCAGGGCCCACAGCTTGCTGACCTACTAAGTGCACACCAGGCTCCGCGGCTCCGCACAGCACTGCGGCACGCCCGTGAGCTGGAGTGAGCGGTGCCGCAGGGACTGTGAAGGTGACCGCCTTCTCCTTCGGGGACACGCGTGCTCTGGGCTGCACACCCGAGGAACGCTCAGGGCGCAAAAGTTTCCTCCGGTGCTGGGGTCTGAGGAGAGTCTCTCGCAAGGGCTGCGCGCTCGCAGCTAGGTCGACCTCCATCCCTGCGGCAGTTTGTGCCCTCTTTTCTCCTTGCAAACACTAACGGCCAGTGGTGGGGGCTTCCAGAGAGGGTCCCATTCCCTGAGCCCGCGTCCCAGCCCCGCTAAGCCTCCCTCCTGCACCCCTTCCGCTGCTTCTGGGTCCCGGGCTGGGTGGGGTCCGCAGCTCTGCAGGCGCTCCCACCAGCTGATTTTGAGAGGGTGGGGGGTCCCGGGCAGCACAGGGAGGAGGGGCGAGTCCTGCCAGATCCGGGGATGATAACGTGCCTGCTCCATGTCGCGGCTTCTAGCTGTCCAGGCTCCGCCCCC